CATATTAAGTGCATCCATTGTGTCACAAGCCTGGAGTTCCTGGAACTGAGCCATGCAAAGGGCGTGCGGGAGTTGTTGTTTAGTGAGCCAAGTAAGTACACTAAATATTAAATCTGAAATTGAATAGACACTGTAATAGAGAGCGAAACCAGAAAGAAGAAAGAATAAACCGAATAAATTATTTGATTTATTTATCTCTGACTAGAGAGTCACAGTACATTTGTGGATTTCACAGCAAAACAATGATTGTTTGATGTCTTGGCCTTGATTAATAATTATGTTTAATTGCAAAGTATGGAATTTTGCTTTTCGGCGAAGATAGTAAATCGATTTTAGAAAATTATTCGAATTAGTAAACCGATTTTAAGCAATTTCTTGAATTAGTGAACCGATTTTAGACAATTACTTGAATTCAATCTTTGCGCTGGAACTACATCCCACTAATCTCGACAACTATCGATGTTTGAATAATAGACACTTTATGGAATGTTTCACTTATTCCTTTCATGATAACACTCTGATACGTAAGATATCACTTACAAAATATAAAGTGCTATGCAAGCTCTGCAACATTCACTTTCCACAAACAGATATTATATATTTTAATTTCTGAAAACATAATACTTTAATGATATTGCAAGTACGTAGAATCCAACAGTGTTACCTTCTCAGCACGTGCATTTTACAAATATCTTCCACACGGAAAAAATCATCGCGAATTTTAAACTTGACATGCAGTCTGTAGTACTGGAAGACATTAATGTTTCCGAATTGAAACGAATAAATTATTTTCGCTAACAGTGATAACATTCCACTTATATGAAATGATTGGATAGGAAAGATTGTTTCATTTCCCTTTATATTTCCTATTATAAACGATCTGGCAAAATTACCTGCATATATTCAGTGCAGGTAATATTGCTTAGTTTTGTTCACAATCAAGAATTTCAATCGAAAAATGAAGAAAAAGATGAATTAAACGCATTCTGATGCAGTTTGATGCATTTTCAGTGCATTTTATTCCTTCAACTTTCCCACATTCGGGCAATGTCTTATTAGTTTTTAATTCTGCTAATAGCTTCTCATCTCTGCTAGGTAACAATAGCAAAATAGCAATATGAAATATCCCATAAGCTATACCTAAAGTTGGCCTAAGATAGCATGTTCTTAATAGCTATGTTCGAAAAAAAAAATCATATTTACGATGGAATCAGAACATGGATAACCGTTTACAAAAATCCATATATTTTAATTCGCAATCTCCGTTTCAGTTTCTTAAAGTGCTTATTCCGGAATTAGTGCTATTTCAAAAAACAGCATATGTATTCCTAATCATTTCTAATATACATACATTAATAAGGCCTCACTTATTGCGCTATTGCATTGAAGCGGCGTTTTTCAATAAAGTTTAACAATGACATAAAAAATTCTGTCTTTGGATATCTCAGTCTTTCTAACCGATCATCGCAGTGTAAACTATCGATTAAAACAAAAATGAATTATGGTTAAGATTCAACAAATTTTGATCAAATTCGAAAGCTTGGAAAAAATATGCAATCCTTTTTTTATAATCCATTACCTAACGAACATCTCTGAAAACCGTTTTACCGATGTAGCGTGGTCATCAACAACATCTAACACATTACAACCTTGATAAATTAAGTTGGTTGACTTGCATAAGTGTTTTGAGTGCACTTGCAAACACCAATTATTTAATAAAAAGCGTGATTTAAAAAGAAAATAGGCAGAAAAAACTATGAGAACTAAGAAAAGCAATACCTAAAGTAAGAAGCAAGTCTGTATGTTAATGATTTATGTCTCTTTGAAGTAACTTATTCCATCCTTATCATTATCAACGAAAAACCTATTTGCTCACAAATATTTCTTATTAAACTAATGACAATGCACATGAAAGGAATCGAGTGACCACAAGATAAGGTTCTAGGAACCTGATATGTGTCCAGACAGACCGGACATATTATTTGAATTCATGAGTACATCGGTTGATTGAAGTAAACAAAATATCTATCATTAGCACCATTACACTGCTGCTGCCAGCATTGTTAGGATGGAACGGTCTCTAAACATGTCTTTAAATTTTTAACTACTTCCTAATTAGCTTTATTTGGACATGATTATCTGGTCTTCAACTCAGAAACTTTACAAGCAAGCATCTGATCGAAATATATTGATCCGGAACCTGACCGTATTACACTTGCAACAGTTATTTTGCAAATAATTATTTTGTTTTTTCTGCATATTAATAATCATAGAAAACACATGTCATTCAATTGCATTGGGCACATCACAATGAATATTTCGTTGATTTTTTGTTAAGCACTCCTTTTCGTCCCGAGTATTTCATCAAACTCTGATTAAATATTAACAGGTGTGGTAAGGAAGTTATTACGGTAGGAAGAGAGTAACCTCAAAAGGCGAATGAATGCCTTTAAAGTATTTATGTAAAGATAGTAACGATACATGGAAAGCAAACTTCAGTAGGAAAAAGAAATGCTGAACGAAGTATAACTAACATTTTCCTCCTTCCCTTTCACTTTCTGGAACGACTCACCATCCGTGCGTTTCTGTCTTATAGTTCAATTTGACCTATCGGACTAAAATAACTTGTAAATGAGCTAACAAATGTTTCACTTTCGAGAAGTGAGAGGACTAAAATAAAAATGAAGTATGTGACACTCACTGGAATACCACTAACTGGATAAGCAATTAATTGGTAATCCATCTATTCTCATTTTTGGTGTGGTTTTGCCATTAGCTTACAAATTTGTAAAATGCAACTTCTAGATTCAGTCGATGTGCAATGATGTGTTATTATTATTTTTGATGGTGGCGACAGTGAATAGCTTCAGCTTCAGCTTTCTTTCGTGCATGTACAATAACACCATGTCATACTAAGGCGAAGCATTCAACTTTTTATTAAAGCTTCAATAATTAACAAATAAGTGAAGTAACAGCCTGATAATGTGTCATAGGGATTCGCGACATAACTATACCGCCGCATAGTAACGAGATCTTCCGTATAATCACAATACTTAATAACTAATCATACGATAATGATGTCATCTTCGTCAGATTGACTACCAAAATTGCTTTTATTATGTGCTACTGTTTAAAAACTACGATTAAACATAGTCTCTATAATGAAATAGGACGGAAACTGTCGGAAAAGCTAATTCATCGAGTTTATTTTTCAACGGTACAGGTTTAATCGGGATGTAATATTATTCTTGAACAATATTACTAGTTAACAACAGCAAATATATATATGTAAAATATAGGACGTGATAAATCCACAATAAATGATAAATATGTTATAGAATAAGCAAGCAATATGATCAATTCAATTCCTTGTGTTGTCTTCAGTAATAGTTGATTTTCAGTTTGTTGATAGGTTGCATAATGATTGCGATATAGGAATTCGTCCTTCGTTAAGCTGGAGATGTACTGTCGGATAGGTATTTATTTAGTGGAAGGAAGGAATATTGTAGCTTGTTTCCAATGGTGACGGATGGACGAAGAGAACGCTATGGTCTGCTTGAATTGTAAAAACTGATTTTGTAGGGTTTTTTCCATATATATACACCTAAAATTAGAAGAGAAACTTTAGTAAGCTGGACTGGGTTATCATATAGATATGGCTGCATGATCTATAGTCCGAATAGATACTGAGATATCCTTGTGACATTCCCTCATTGTTAGCTTATATCCTCCTCATTACTTTAATTTTGCTTACAGGATTTTGTCATCCTGTTTGGAATATATTGTAGAAATTCTATTTGAATGTAACTTTAATTTCAGTAATCCGACAGGAATAACCTCAAACTGAATGACATCTCAAATGGATACATATTTAGAAAAGCGATGAGGGTGTCTGGTAGATGATAATGATGATGACGATACGTTATTGCGGACAAGGACAAGCTCTACATGGTCAACAGAGCGTTGAATGTGATTCATCGTCGTCGTCAGAAAATATTTTGCCGGCGACAGAATATTATGCATATATATTAGTACATAGTATATTTAATTGGTTTGGATAGATGTACCAAAGAAATAACCTGCAATGTAACATCTTTAAGAGCCGAAGATGAGTATTGTGAGTCAGTCAACTGAAATCAGTACTGCAATTTGTGTTAAAAACCATTGACTATAGGCAGCAGTAACTGGTTCTCTCTAAACGTCAATGTTTACTTAAACTGATTATTGCTTATTCGAAATTATGATTTTATGAAATCAATGGAAAAATTTTCCAATTAGAAAGAAATTTTCAATTGGAAAACGGAAAAAATTCTTCTATGAGATTTACTATGTATGACAAAACCGCATGCATAATTCGTGTCGTTGACATGCGAACCTGCTCGCAGCGGAGTTTAAAAACCAAACTTTTATACCTGTTATTCTGGACTGAAGTTCAATCATGTTTTTATCATTCGATGAGTAACACGTACAACTAGTCTGGCACTACTTTTTTTTCTATTTAATTAGTTAACATTTCCACATGTTTTTCTTTTAGAGATTTCATGTATCGGCACATTAAATAGCTGATTGCTTCAATTTGCAGCAGTAATAGATTCAATGCTATCAATTATATACGTTAAGAATATTTTATAATTTATTATAAGTGGTTAAGGGAGTTCTTACAGAAGTCATTAAATGACCGAGAATACAGAGTTACAAGTTTAAAGTCAACAACAGCTCAGGATCTTATTACAAGGGAAACAAGGACAAATCATTCAGAAGACGAACTTTATAAGATATTCGGCTGACTGAGCTTTGACTTGAAATTAATATCATTCCTATCACTTTATAAATTGCAGACAGCACTCCCATCACCCTTTTTTCGCCAAAAGATGCGTTTAATAAACTGAATGCATCAGTGCAGTTGGTCAAACTGGTCAACTCTATAAATTACGTAAAGGAATAATGGACATCAAACCCGCCTGCAATGTGGTAATATACCATTGCGTGTAGTAAAAAATTTAGCAAAATTCAGGAGGATTATTTATGTCATAGGAGCATACTTTTCGATAGAAACCAGTTGCACTTACGCCTTTCCACGTAGTACGCTGAAATATTCCCAGTTATTTCCCATTCTATAATTTAAGATTCGATTAATATTTTAATCATAAAATGACCCATGTCAATCCAAAGCAAGTAATGCATGAAAATGAACTGTTGTATAAAACTTTTAAAATTTGCTGCCATCGCGTACTTTTTGCGCCGATTAAGTTTTAAAGTAAGTAATCACATCTGATTCAGAGAAAAATGTATTCAATAAACTGACTGGAATACCAAACATACCATGATAAGATAATCATCTTCTCGGGTATATTGAAACGTTTCATGATCGTCTGGATTTTCTACACGTATCACATTTTCTGTCATCACCGCTCCATTTTGACTCGTGTCTATTGTTACCTATAAATGATGCATGCTTTTTTTTATTGCTGTAATTAATTGCCACCTACTATTAAACACATTATATTTCAAATGAACTATTCGTAAGATAATGAAGGCATCAATACTTTGTACAGTTTTTTGTCCTCTTGCATCTCTAAATCGAGAAATAAACATTATAGAGGCCATTAGTAATTTGCAAAAGATAGAATATTGTAGAAGTAAATCCGTGAAATGATTTTTAGGCCTTCATATATATTTTGTAGCAGAACTGTAGAGTGGTTTCTGCTTTGTTAGTTCTGTATTTATTGTGTAAACAGACCATTTCTGTTTTGGTAATGAAAGTGACAGATTGATTGTTAAAGTAGCAAATTTTCTACTGCGAATTTCATGCAACATTGGTTGCTTATTTTTTCATCTGTAAAGGCGATATAATATGAATAACATACATTAAATAAGCCATCCTCCAAGTGATCAGTTAGAAAAGAAGTACCAAGCTCGAAATCCATGTAAAGCACATTTTTCTTCCAAGTAAGAGTTTCCATATCGTACCGTAAAGGCAACCCTGAAGCTGCTTTTCGAATTACTTTTGTGACACTTGCTATCAGGATAAGCCGACGTGTAAGCCACTTGTAGCCTGAAAAGTGTTTGTAATTATCAAAGGACGACACAATTTCTACAATTTGAATCCTCGGCTATTGAGATCCAGTAATATGCAATATGATTTATTCACTGAGTAATGTTTTTTTTCATAATCATTTGATGATTGTTTATTATGGAGATTAAAGTATTCAATTTAAAAGTGCAATATGCTAGTGGACCGATCTACTGCCTGCATTGGTATATTGTTCTTATCCCCAGATTAGTATTTAATACCCAAAGAACAAGTTAATATTGATTTGTAATAGAGGACAAATGTCATTGATTGCAAAGATTGTATTGCATGATTCGAATGCTCAACAGTATGAACAATCGAGATAGCAAACCTCGAGCGGTGAGGTATTCATCCAGATTAATAGATTTTTCGAGCGTATATCTTCCAAAAAATACACTGGGCAGTTTTCTGGAATCATTGGAAAATGAATAAGGGAAAGTAAGCAAGAGCAACGGTGGCAGCCATGAAAAGTTTGGTTTCATAGAGTGATGACCTGCAAAAACAGTGCGTTGATAGTGCAAACATCCCACAAAATGATTCCGTAAAGAAGAATATGGGTAAAAGAAAGTTTAAATAGAAAATTTCAAATCAACATTTTGATTCCTGAAAATCTATTTCAGAATCAAATTACTGATGCAGCGCGAAGTTCGGGATATTGACTGATTTAATAAGAGAGATTTTCAGTGAAAGCGTATGAAAGTTTATAACGCAACTAGCTTATTATCCTTAAATTCCAAATGATTTCAGTGTAGAACAATCAGTTTTAACTGATAGCAGTACAATGATTCATCGAGAACTAAATCAGTTTATCCGAGCTTGTCAAACGAATTTCAAGGTTATCGATTGAAATTACTATCACCTGGAACTTTTTAGCGTTGAAATGTTTTAGAGCATTAAGAGTTTTATACATAATGTTACTAACTTACCATTTGATTACTAAGACGAGAGTGTATGGTCCAGAATAAAACAAAGATAGCGCTTAATGCAAATAAAAAGAACCCACAGGTAGATCCTCAATGCTACTTCGTACTCGTAGGATAAATATTGAATTCATCTGATTGATTTGGGAATGAAGTGTAAGCCAGAAAAGTTTTATGAACTCCCAAAAATGACATCAAGACTGATGAGACTAGTTCTAACTTCAAGCTTTTCCGCTAATAATGAACGAGTTAATAAGTCATAATACTGTCTTGAATTAATTCTCCCAGAAATAAAAGCAGTGATAAGAGTTTCGAAACGTATTTAGAATTGACTGTATTTCATCGCTTTATTTCCTCATCAATCCGTGCATATAATGACGAATTTGGTAAGTTTGAAGTGAGCTGACCTGATTTGCACGGCTCTTCATCTTCTCTTCTCTTTCCTTTTTTTTTTTTTCGTTATCTTATGATGGATTAAAATGGCAATCCTTATGTACCCAAATTCCATCATCAACAATAACTATTAATTAATTCTAAGGTACTCTCCTTGCTCATTGTTTCTTCATTAAAAAATTATGGCTTTCTTAAGATAGCTCTTTTGCATATTTTTCTTTTTATCATATATCAATCGTAGTTTTCAAAGAAAGAATGAGGAAGAAGTTCTTTCACCATTGTTATTTTATGATGAAAAGGTAACAAATCATGAAATTAGCTAGACCTGATATGCTTGTTCTGCTTAAGGATCTTTTGAAAGAATAAAATTATCACTGTGTTACAAACATATTGGCACTGATAATTTCACTGCTTAATAGAAAGGTTAACTTTTTAAGCAATATGAATTTTTTGAATGAATACAAATAATATCGATGGTTATACTTGTTTATTGTATAAATCTAGTTCTGGTAATTAATGCATAATAATATTTATCGTAAAAAGGAGCAAAGCAGTTGAGGATTTTGATTCTGACTATATCTGATGATGATTGACAAGAAAAAAATAAGTGATAAGCTGGCTTTATATCAGTATTGGTTGAACGACACTTTGGAATAACTTCAGAAAGATTAGGGCAAATCATTTCTTTTCATCTTTCCTTTTTGATCAGCAAAGCAATTTTTGCTTTTGTAATGTCACGGGACACAGAGATCAACAAATAAAAATAAATCGGGCAGGTTAGTGGATGAATAAATTAGTAAACAAAAGAAATAAAAAAGCTTCAATAAGAAATTTACGGCTGAATGAATCAAAAATGCGAGTAATTTATTCTTTCGAAATATTTGAAATGGTGTAATCAAGGAATAATCAATCAAAATGTAATTCTTGCAGAGAAATCATTTGAATGCGCAGTGATGAAGAAGACATGAAATGCTGGGGAGATTCTAATCGAGGCCAATTGCGCCCCCAATATGATTTGATGTGATAGAAGTCAGATTTGAATGCATTTTCCCATCAAGTTGTATACGGTTTTCTGACAGTCATCTCAATAATATAATCATTTTAGTTTATGCAGAAGGAATGAATAAATGAAAAGGAGGGAGATGAAAACATTTCTTTTTACTCAACAAACCAATAAAAGATATGAATGAAATGAATTAGTTGGGTAATTTGATATGGAATGAAAGGAAGCCAAGGGAAATTTGTTAAATTTGACAATGAACTGAACCAAAGTAAAATGTGCAATCCAATGAGTTGGTTTACTGACAATTGGATTGATTTAATATAATTCATCCAAATCCTTCACCATTAATCACTGATCTGTGCTTGCATTGCAACACATTGTTTGGGGCAATAGTGTAAGATGTAAGAGTGAAGTGTGATGAAATGCTATCTTTTTACTAAAGCTATCTAGTTTAGTGGTAGAGATGAAGTTATGGAGTTTACTTCGGAATTTGATAGAAATCTCATCTCAGTTTCTGTTTAACTTTTATGGAACTGATTTTCGGTTTAGTGGAAACTATTCTGATTGAAGTATGGAAAGATCTGAGATGCAAAAAGATTGTGCATCTGCATGTAATATATAGGCATGAAGTAATTTGGCTCAAAAGATTCTTAAAAATTAGTGAATAGATAAAAACGCATCTATTACACTGGATGCTAGGACAGTTCAACTCAAAATATAACTCGGATGCTTAGTTGAAAATGTTGTTGTTCGATGCTACGGGATATATATTATCTCATAACACCGGATTCTGTTGCTTTATTCATAACTTCAACACCCGATGCTATCAGCCACCATCAAATAGTAAAAAGCTGATGTTACTGATCATAACTGATGTTGTCTGCAATGCATACAGGTAATAGCGTTACTTGTCTAATCATCACTGTCATGATTGCGGATAATATAGCCTTGAAGATTCTCGAAATGACTGCGACGTTTAACTCCGATAACTTCATCCAGAACAAATCCTGCTTTCCACTCGCAGAGTTTGCTCTTACTATTATCATCAATTGTTGGAAAAGCATAACATGGAGAAAAACAAGTTTAAAACGGATTTATACGGAATCATCCGATATAAAAGCAACGTGGAAGAGCAAATGACTTTGAATAAAAGATAATGGAATGAGAGAGTATCAAATTACTGCTTCCTGTAATAACGTTTTGTCGAAACTCCTTTACAGGTCACTTTCTGAAATAAATTAATGGAGTAACCATACTCTCTTGTTCAAAATATTGTCACGCTTTTTTGGAAGAGTTAGTTAAACCTTGTTGAACAATTTGTCAAGTGTTGATTAGTTTCTAGAATAATAAGTATTTAAATTCTTTTAGCTCAAACGTCTGGTAACCTTACCATAATTAAGTAATTGCCATCTCGATAGTATTCGTAAATTTCGATGTCACTTGGATCGTCCACCTTGATATGCGTTTCTGTCAGTATATTGTCTAGATCTTTCAGGTCAAATGTTATCTAGAAATCTTCAGAACATTCTAATCACTCAATAATAATGTTTGCTTTTGCTTAACAATCATAAGCATTTTGATGAAAAACAACGATTATAAAGGCGCCACAACGATTATAACAGCGCACATTCCAACGTCCAATTTAACATTTTATTAATATCTACTGCACGAAAATCCTAAAAATTATAAATTTAAGGAATCCTTCAAGTGATTGTACTCAGACTAAATTTAATCAGTTTTTGAAATCGTAGCTAGCCATTCTTCACTTTGAAAATGATATAATTACAGCCTTACCTTGTGTTGCAAGCTATCTAGAGATTCCGCAATGAATTCTTCGCCCAGAGCCCAATCAGCAAACAATGTATTCTTTCTACTTGTCAAATTCTCCATATCGTAACGATTTGGTTTCTGAGAATTTGCTTTGCGAAACACCTTTGTGACACTAGCCAATTTGATTATTTGTCGCATGAACCATCCGAAACCTTAAATAAAAAAATGGCATACTACAAAGTTTTATCGATCATGTTTAAAGATACGTGTATATATATCAATCTGAAAAAAACAAATTCTTCCAAAAATTAACCAATAAAGTCTGTATGATTGACCTCTTGCCTCAAGATACTGGTCGAAATTTTCATCTTTTTCGAGTTTGAAAGTACCCAGAAACTTTTCTGGAAGCACCTTGGTGTTCCCATCGGACGTAACACTTTTTGTCCCAACTTCGTCGAAGACCGCATTTAATACAATCGCAACAATTATGAATCGCATTATCATGATGACCTTCAAATCCTAGATGAACAGATGCCAAAAAATGGACATATCAGGAGTGGAAGTCACTTTCAACAGAATATATTTTTCAAGACATTCCATAATTGTTTGGCATTGAGGATTAGTTATTTTTGATACTTATGAAACGATTAAATCGCTCGAAAATTGAAATATAAAAGTGTTCTGGATCTAGGATTTGGAACTTTTTTATATGAGTATAAAAAAGTTTTCAAGATGTTCAATGGCAGTTTCTGAAAGGCCAGTTGAAGGCTTCTCAGAAACTGCCATTGAACATCTTAAAAAACAAGGCTATCCCTTTCCTCTGCTGACATTTCCAATCATAACGAGTAATCATTTTAAGTGATACTAGAAGATCTAACCGGATCGGAGCCAGCCATGCTGTGGTGCAGGACCATCAATAACGTTGCATCAATTTATCTCATAAATTGAGAAACAAAAGAATAGAAAAAGATTTTATGTTGACTTTTGTGTTTCTTCTACCTCGTCGTACACGTGGAAAGTAAAAATGTTTTGCTTTTCATGCAAGAAATATAAAGACAGTCTAACAACGATCCGGCGATCCGGCTAAATGGGTCAGGTAGATGAAAGAAGCTCGATAAAGAGAGAGAAAGAAGTGACCAACTGCTTAATGATGAGGTTAACTGACCAATACAGTGAAACACACAGAGCAGAGAATGGAAATCAAGTCGAGTGCCATCTGTTTCAATAAGCTTAAGGGAGAAAGACGAAGAGTAGGAAGACACTGCAAAAACATAATCCGTGAATTGAGGAAGGTAAAGGAACGAAGTGCCATTTATCAGTAAGTTACTGATGGATAGTTCGGTAGAACGATCCACACTAGTTCTGCACTACTTATTTCCGCATTTTTAAAGCTTCAACAATTACACTACACAATATTTATTAT